GAAGAGCGGACCCCGTTCTCATGCCACACAGGTCGCCGGTAACCTGTGTGTGCAACGGATTCTCCGCGGCGGTAGGATTCGCCAGGAACGCCGAAGTCGAAGGACCCATCGAGAGAGCCTCTCTCTATACACGGAGAGATTCTTCCCCCGCAAGGTATCTTCTTTTATTTTTACGTGTGCCTCTCTCGATGCGGTTCATTGGACAAAAATGAAACACGATTCGATTCACCTTTTCTTTTTCATCCTTGTATTTTTTTTTTTTAATTTTGATCACGTTGTGCGATCAGAAAACATACGTGCTAAAATTGAATCAAAATTGGCACACTTGATCTGATATATAATAATAAATTTTTAAAATTTTTCGTTATTGCAATAAATATTTAATTTAATACAGTTTTTTGGAGAGTCCTTTTTACGCAATATAATATGCTTGCGCGAAAAAGAAAACTTCTAATAATAATATATATCTTCTTTGTCGATTAAAATTGTAAAGTTTGCTGAGGGAAGTTGATTGGTAACTTTCTCACGCCTGAATGGTTACTTTTTGAAAAAAAAAAAAATCTCACGCCAAGTTGTTTTGACCAGTATAGTTATATGAGTGGTGTTTAAATTCATTTTTGAAGAATGTTTCTAGTAAAAGTCACGTATCGGTTTCTGGATTAATATATATGGATGCTGTATTCACATGTATGTGCACAAGCGATACGAAAATATAAACATTATTTTTGCATATGTATAAAATATAAAATAGGAATAAAATTAATATATAATTGTAATTCATATTAATTGTAATTCCTATTAGATATTTTTAACTGTTAAAAACGCATACTTGATGAATAAATAAATTTCTCTTTGAATAATCACGTTTTCATTACGCTGTAAAAATTATTTCGTTTGATATTAAAATAATATTAAATGATACAAATAAAAAAAAACCTTGTACATTTTAATAATATAATGAATAATGAAAGGCTCTCCATAGAGCTTTGTTCGATCTACGGTGTATGGTTAGAAGAAACAAGCACGGTTAGATTAAAGAAAGAACCCTCTTCTCCCTCGAAAAGAGGGGTCAAAGAGCGCTACCGTGTCCTCAAACGCGACGGGACCGTGCAAAAGGAAGAAAGGAAGGAATAGGAAGGAAGTTCTCCCGTCGTCGGTTCGGCGAACGCGCTCCCTGCGCGTGTACTCTTCGCTTGCGCGTGCGAGCCCCAGGACCCTTCCTGAAGTTAATGATTCGGTCATTGCGATGGGTGGCGGTGACGGTGGAGAGTGGTGGAAACCAAGTGGTGTGGGCCCGGTGTGTAGAGTAGGAGAAGAGTGCGCCAGGAGGGCGAGAGAGCAGAAGGAGAGGAGGATCAGCCTGCACAAGAAAGTAAGCCCGATCTCAGTTCGAACGCTTCGGCTCGGTCTTACGGGTTTAGTCTTGTTGCGGATTGTTGCCGTGGCTGTGTGGTCGGCGGAAACCCAGAGATAGATAACGTCCCACGCAACGCAGCCGTTATCAATTGGCGAGCAAGCCTGACAGTCCGGCGCCATGTACCACCGGTCGTGTCTCCTTTAGTAAGGACGACGCGTCGTTCGCGGTGAAACGAGAAGCGCCCTGATCCGAAGAGAGATCCTTGGCGCTCATTCACCCCGTGGACAGAAATCCGCGTGATAAGATTCACGGTCGAGCAAGTCGCTCCCGGATAATCATTTTGCGATCCGATGCCGCACGCCGGCAATTCAACGTCAGCTGTAGCCGCGAAGAGAAGGCGGAGGCAGCAACCGGTCACCCTCGAAAGTACGTATGGGGATGTGGGGACGTAATGAATAAGAGACATATATCCACGAGATGACATTAACCAGTCAAGGAAGAATTAGAATAAAAATGTCAATCGCTTTGCATACTTTATTGTCTACGAAGATAATATTTGCATTAACATATTTCTTATATGTATTAATTTATATAATTAACATTATACTATTGTAGATATATGTATTAAAAAAAGTCTACATCTACGTATTAAAACGTTTAGAGATTAAAATTGTTGTTGATTAAGAAAAAAATATAGCTCCGCAATTGACATTTCTATCTAATTAACTTTCTCGTTAAACGTGATATACGTGATACGTATATGATTTGCATCTCATATTTTTGATAAATGTTTTTTTAAATTTATATACGGCATATGTCAGAAACTTTTAGTTTTAATAATAGTTAATTTAAAAATGATAAATTTAATTCAAATAATAAATTAATTACAATAATAATTTGAAATCAATTTTAATTACAATCTTTTTACTGCAAAATTTTGAGACATAAATAGTTTTTTAAAAAGAAGAAAAAAAAGCTCTCTCTTTCTCTCTAGTATATATACGAGAGAAGAATTCTAAAAATAATGCATCATGATATGAAATAAGACATTTCGCGTATTCAAGTGAAAAAGCTAAAGTGGATTGACGAGAACCACTTACAGACTCCGGTCTTGCCAAAGTACCGTTTTAACTCAAAGCTTCCCAGAGTAGCACATTCGAACCCTTGAAGTATTCCCTTATTACTGAAATTCGAAGATTATGATCAAAGTAAATTGCACAGAGATTAAAGCTGTCGTCAAACATTTCAAGAAACAGTCAAGTTGTCAAATTAATTTAAAATTTAATTAAATTCAGAGAATCCCTTTGAGATATATTCAATGTAAATGTAAAATTTAAAGTTTTACAGTAATCTGGCAAGAAATATTAAGCAAGCTTAAGTACACACACAAGTATTTATTGTAATTTTGCAAAATTATTGCATTTAAAACACGTGTAAAAATTTAAAAAAATTTTAAATTTGTAGAATGTATAAAAATATAAGTGAATCAAATACAAACATTTTTCAATTTCAAATCGATAATAATAAGAATCTCTTTCATAACGTTTCGAAATAATGTGAAAATGAGAAGAAAGAATATTATACGATTAATTTCTTAAATTAGTAGCACTTTTACCATGTTAGCGTATAATATTTGCAAAGCGGCAAGGCTAATATCTCGGGGGTATCGGGTGATGTGCGCATTCCAAAACGCATAGCGTACTTTCCCGCGAAATACATTGAGATAAGCATAATGAGCGAGAAGAACGTTGAGACAGGAATTATCGGTAAGATTAGAGACGTAGAATAAATCCAGCTGGTATTAAGGAATAAATACATGAGTTATAAATTTCTATTTCAATCGTTTATGCAAGATGCTAATGAGAATTAAAATAATAATAATAATAATAATAAAGGAAGAATTTTGTAGAAAAAAGTAAAAATTAATCAGTTTATCGAAATCAGAGAAATGTTGTATGTCGATTTAACAATCGCTCAATCCTCGATTATGCTGAACTATTCTTTTTTTACACGATGTTGAAATTCTAGAAATTATATAATATAAATTAAACAGAGAGTGATGAAAATAATTAGGCAGATGACCCTGTTACTCATTACTTTCACATTTTTACTACTAAATATATCAATTTAATTTTCAGTTCGTGAGAAGAATGCATGTTTTGCATGCAAAGTAAATAAAATTCAAAATTAGATTTAGCATAATATAAAGTATATTATGCGGATCAAATTGCTTCTCTCTCTCTTTCTCTGTTCCTTTTTTTTGATTCACCTATGAATCTTTTTTTGTAACAACAAATTGGCGTTAAATTAATCTTGTTTAAATTCACAGTGTTAATTTGTTCAGGATTCAAATAATAAATTTTTTTTCTGATGAAGCAAAATTGACAACAATATTATACTTTTCTAATGAGAAGTATAATCCCAAGTAGCAAGGTGACGTTAAATGACATTTTAATGACGTATTATTGATGTTAGAAACGTCATTAAGACGTTATTAAGATGTCATTTGATGTCAGCTTGCTACTTGGAATAATGTTAATAATCAACGGGAATATACTCGCGCGTTAGAATAAAGCGTGAGTGCTTGAACACACTTTCAAGAGGTCTGCGTTAATTAACTAGCCGAAGTCGGGCCATTAAACGCGCGAATTGACAGCTGGCAAAAAATTAAAGGGTCGTCATGTCTCCCTGACGTTCGTTGTCGCTGGTAACCGACTCTTTCTCAGCCTTTCAGGACGAGTACGTCCTTCTCGGTGAGAGAAGGCATTAAAGTCACCGACAAACGCGGTTCTCTTTGACGAGCGATGTCGTAACACGAATCGATCATATATTAATATTCAGTTAGTGTTAACTATAGGCAAATTTGGAAAATTGAGAAAATAATATAAAATTGTTATAAATATATAACAATTTTATAAATATATAGAAAAAAACCATGATAAAACCTATAGTTATAATGCATTTTAATTTTCTTAATATAATATTTCGGTTATAATAGTATAATAATATAATATAGATTTTCGCATTTTTTTTTTTTTTTTCAGCGATATCCGCACAAGGAAATCGACTCGCAGATCTTATTTCTTACTTGCTTTCCCGCTTATTCATACGGACATGATCGATCGCGATCGTCGCCGGTGTCCGTGCATCTTTCACGTGGTTCTCTGTCGTATCATTCCGGTCTCTGCATTTACGTGAACGGCGAAAAAGCGGACGCGATCGCCTCCTACCTTCTTGTCGACAAGCCCCATTCGGAATTCCGAGGAGGCGCGTGGAATCGGCGCAGGTAGCACATATCCCGCGATTGCGACCGCGATCGAGCGAACGGGCGAACGAGTACGCGACCGTATGAATCGTATACTTTTGTGCTAAAAGAGAGAAACAATCTCCGAGAGCCGCGCGAATAGCAGCGGTGGATAGCTCGTTCTCTTGGTGAGCCGGGAATAAAAAAAAAAAAAAAAAAATGAATTCTTGAGATGAACTAAATGATGCTCGGAACTAACCCAGCAAGTAGTATACATTAACGGCATACACATACGTATCGCGCTCCTTCACAACTACCGTCGTGGGAGTAATGCCGATAGCAAACAGAAATGTGAACGTGTTGAGAAAGTGCAAGTGCCGATAAATAAACGCTACATAT